TCTTTCATATTTTCCTCCTCTGCTTCCTGTTTTAAACATCGAGTTTGTCTTTTTGTTGCGTCATATGCTCCCCTGTCTTTCTGCTCCTCTTCTCCGTTGCTACCTCCACCCCCTCACACACCTATCTCTCTTCTTCATCTCTGCCTTATTCCCTCCTTATCTCACCTGTCAGCCCTCCCACACCTGTTCATGCATTACTTACACTTTGCTTCAGAAATTCTCTGTGAAGTGTCCGCCTTCCTTGACCTCCACATCTGTATAAAGAGGCTGATGCACATGAAAGTGCATTGGACATGAAATGGCAACAACATGACAAACTACCCAACATGCACAAGTCAACCCTCTCTCACACACACACACACACCCTACGGCAAGCCCAGAGGACCTGCTTACAGAGACAGACAGGAACTCCCACTTTCATACACAACCTAATGAATATGAATTCAGAAACTTTTTCTCATCGAATACAATAAGGCATTTTAGCAAATGTAATTGTTGACTTGAATAAACTTCCAGAAAACTGGAAAACAGCTGAAACACTGAGTTCCTTTAAATCAAGATCAAAGCCCACCTGGTTAGAGTTGCTCTAGAACCATAATAAATGAAACACTGACCAAAATTTTAATATTTAATGATGATTTTGAAGTCAAAATGTAATATAAACTGGGTATATTTGCTGGGATTTTCAGGTAAACTGTTTCAGACATTATTTAAAGTTATACATTTGGGGGGAAAGAGTTGTCCGTTGTTCAGAGTACTGATGGGCTGTACTACAACATCTTTCACCAGGTTTATGTTGACATACTTTACTGTTATTCTTTATCACAGTACTGTCCACTACACTCAGAGTAAAAAGTAAAGACTGCAACTAACAACCTCAAAATATACATGAAGGTCTAATAAATAAATAGAATAAACAAAAATAAAAAGTTTGAAATTTTCACATAAATTTCACAAGCTTCCTGCAGGTATGAGAACTAAAACCCTTCCACAGAAAAGCAGACAGTTTTCCTTTTAAAACCTGTATTTAAAAAAATCTTTGTTTTACGTGTTGACAGAGAAACAGACAACCCATTGAGAGAGGAGCTTGTTTTTCTGTGAATGTCTGACATCTCTTTTGTGTTTCTTTCAAACACCTGACATCTCATTTTGGTATAAAACTCCTCACTTGGAAGTCCAACGTATTCCAGGCAGTTATTGTTGTAAATTGGAGGTTGTGTTGTGTTCACACCCAGTGGGAGCTCAGAGCGTCACTGGGTTTCCAGGAGTCTGACACATACAGCAGAAGCTGTCCACTCTCCTATTGATTTCCTTATCAGGAACAGACACACAGACGATGTTGGGAATGAGCTCTGGGGCAACAAAAAGCTCCACGGACACACACAGTCTGACATTAACACACGCTCTGGTGCTGCTGCTGGGTCTAATTCTTGGACTAAAATCAGCTTTATGATGACCCAGGGAGACTTAGAAAAATGTGGCACAATTCCTGGGGAACTCGCACACACTCCAACATATTCTCTGTGAGGTATCAACGGGCCACTGGCTGACAGAGGCTCTCCTGGATCTCTGCTTCGCCCCACTGAGTCTTATCTATGATAGACAGAACACACACACACGCACAGATGTCAAAATGCCCATACAAGATGCAGCACACACTCAAATACAGCCGACCTTCAATCTGTGCAGGGCTGCTGCACCTCGGCTCTCTGCATGTGGACACAGTGCATTCTGTAGGCCCTTAAAATTCACATAAATCATCTCATTTATGGCCACAGCCATAACTAAAGGTGACTATGATGCCTCCTTGAACAGGGTAAGATCTATGGTGTGTACAAAACATTACATGTTTTACATAAAATCGTTCTTACATTATGAGACTTTATTCTGCTCGGTTCTGCCTATTTGAGCTGTTTTAGGGTCTCCTGTCACTTTAAATCCAAATAATTGGCAACAGGGAGCCCCTGCTGATTTGTGATGTTATATTCTAAAGGTTTTTGAAATGGCTCACTTTCCAGACACCAAAAAATATTAACTTATTGCCTAAAAACGGCTAGGTGTTATTTTTTTAAGTGTTTGAGTTGTTTATAGCAAATGCTGTAGATCAATTCCAACTGCTGACTCACCACCAGAGGGCGTGTGTCTGAGTGAGAGGATTTTATATCCAAACATGGGCAGTTTAGTTAAATATCTGTCTGGTTTATAGTTATAAAGAAATGATGGCACAGGGGAAATGATTCTTGCCCATTATGATTGATGGACTTGAACTTCCTCCTTCCTTTTCTGCTGTTTGGTTCTGCTCTGCACCCACAGCTGCTTTTATACAACAAAAGAACACAAAACCTTGTCAATATTCTGCAGATGCCGAAAAGACACAATTTTGCAACTGCGGTGTTTTCATTAAATAAGAAGCATAATAAGAAAACACAATTTACAAACACAAGTCATTAAAAAAATATGCTGTGCCATCTTCCATCTACCACTTCCTGTCGTCTTTATTCATCGTTCCCATCAGTAGTAACAGCTGGTTATCGATCACATGACTTGTGTGATGCATAAAAATGCTTTGATATGTTAATTTTGATACATCAAAAAACCACCTCATTCTAGTGTAAAAAACGTTTAAGTACAAAACATCAATAGGCATGTATCCTTTAAGCGACATTATTTTCGTAATTCCAATTTGCGCAATTCTATGGTCAACGGAAACCGAGCTACCAAAGCCTCTTTTTCCACTTTTTTGTGAATTGGGATATAGTTCAGGTGTTATTTTAGCTTTTGAGATGCTAATTAGCTGATCCCAGTGGTAAAACAATACCTTGTTGCCAAGGTTACATAAAATTTCTTCCAGGTGCAAAACCAGAAGCCAGAGGGAATGATTGTCCAAACGTGCAAAGCCTCAACCAAACAATATGTGAACAAACGTCTAGAGAAACAGAGCTGCTCCAACATGCTAGCTCTGAGAAAAGATGCATCAACATCATTTCCCCTTTTCATCACTTACTCCAAGGATTGTTGTCATATAACTATGGTGTTTTGTGAACATTATGGGTGAAAAGGTGCATTTTCTAAAAAAGACATTCACCCAACAGATGCTAGTTTGTCTCCGAATCTAAAAAAGTAGCATCGTGTGTTGAGCTGGCCAACAGGGCTGGGTTATGGAGGCTTTCCATGCATGAACGAACACGTATGGGACAGAGACGTACAGAGCGTACAGGCGGGGCGCTGTAATATGAGCAGCATCTCTCTCCAGATTCCCCCGTCACACCTGACTGAGCAACAGTAATTAACCCTGATTTCACTTAGCAGACACACACACACACACACAAAACTCATCACGACACCTTACACATGACAACACAGAGTCATGCATGTATAGTAGCCACACCAAACAAATGAAGCTGCACTAAAGCAAATCAGCAACACAGGAGTGACAAGAATGAGGGAAAAGGGACAAAAAGTCAAAGTGGAAATGAAGGATGATGACACATTTATGCAAATTGGAGGAGGGTGTTTTCATGCGTGTGTTTTCATTTTCCCTTTCCTCTTTTGTTCGCTGCGTTGGCATCAGTTATTCCCCTGGCAAGAAGCATGGCCGACAACACCTGAGCTTCACCCACCCACACACACAGAGCAACACAATGAACACACACTCTTTACGGGATGCTTTCAGGGCGGTGAGCTTCAGATGCTCTCGTGAGTCGATAGTGTGATTCTGCAAACAGATGGTAATGACAGTTCTGTCCCTGGACGACCGTCGAATCAGAGTGGCGGCGTTAACACACGCAATCCAACTTTTCTGACTCTCTGCAGGCTAAAACATCCTTCACAACAAATAAAGTTAACAGCGTAATTCCAATCAGACATTTACTTTAGATAATATTCCCTGTCTTTAATTACTCTACCTCAGGATGTGATCTGATTTAATTTACATTCTGAGTTAGGCGTTGTAAAGTTTGCCTGTAGCCATCAGACTTTACAACACACAACTCTGAGTGTCTTTAATATATATACTTATATGTTTATACATATCTATATATGTGAGTGGATGTGCAGTCAGAGGCAGGAGTGGAGGGATTGTGATGTGACACAGATTTCACTAATCAGTTCATAATGATAATATTCCACCATTGTTTACGTCCTGATTTACAGCATCTGGCTTCTTCTGGTGCAGAATTATGATGTACGTCTCACATCAACGACATAAAAGCTGGATAAAATCAACATGCCTAATCAGACTGCAGATGCTTTGAAAACAATCAGATATGCTATTTAGCTACACATGTGAAAGTGGGACAAATCTGATTTTGGTTTTTAGGTGAAAAGATCAGAATTGGTCCAATCAGGCTGCTGTGAAAAAAGTCGGATTTGGGTCACATTCGCCTGCTGTGTGAACGTCACCTAATCTTCAGCTCCCTTTACAGATTCAAATTACTTCCAACCAGAAGAAACATGTTGGTAAGTTAGTTCACTATTTAACCTAATATACAGCTGGAAGAGGCATGAAATGTTTTGGGCTTCTAATGTAATGAACATTAAAATAACTTATATTTGGGTTCAGTGTGAAGATTTCCAACATTAAAAGTCAAACTTGTTTTTCAGGAGTTATTTGCCACAGTCCTTCTGGTGAACTAAAGTACTGCTCATCTTTAAGAATAATACATTTGTGTATAAGTTGAGGCAAAAATAGTTATTTTTATAAACATCTAAAATGTTTGGATCTTCTTCACAGTTTGAGTGAAAACCGGATCAAAAACATTCGGAGGAGCGTGAACAGAGAGGACTCATTGTGGGTTCCCACTTTCTGGGAATCTTTTCAGTATTCCGTCCTCAGCTCCCTCGCAGCTCTAATGGGCCGCAGCCAAACATGCACACATCGACACAAACAACCAGGGCTTGTTCCACACTTCCAGCAGAAACAGTCCCACTTTGCTGCATACATAGTAATGAAGTGTGTGGATCTCTGTTTCACCCCAACCTCTGCAGTCACATTTACGTACCTTTAACAATCAAGTCGGCGTAGTTGGAAACTCCGGATCCGCCATCGGACCGGATGACGCAGCGGTAGCGGCTGGTGCTGCGCTGCGACGTGTCACCGACGCTCACCGTCGCAGAGAAGCGGCGGTGGTTGACCACCCTGGTCACCATCAGCGCCGTGTCTTTGCCGTTCCACTGCTGGAAGATGGGAAATCATACTTGTTGTTGTGGGTGTTCCACTTGTTTTCCATGTTAATGTGTTATTATTAACTGGATTTACAGTGCAACCGTTTATATTTGGTAAAATAACTGCTGTTCCATCAGCGTTACTCTCCTACCCTGTATGGTTTTACCAAAGCAATCCATGAATTTACAGAATATGTGCATCATGAAATGAAAACAAACACTCTGTATTTATGCCTGGAAAAAAATAGAATAAATTTTCTCTGAGGAAGTCAACCTGAAAACTAAAAAATACCACTTTCTGCATGCAATCTGCAGATTAAATCTCTCAACTGCAATCCTGACGGACCACTCAGGAAAAGATGCTTTTCCCCCAGCAGAGCCTGAGCTGGGAGAGTTAACACTCCCAGCTCCACATGTCATTTCTTCACCCTGCAGTAATCTCCTGGGTTTTGAGTTCTGCTGTAACAATAATGCAAACTTGCACATGAATGTAGACTGAAATTAATACATTGCCATGACGACACGCAGCATGAACATGTTGACAAACACGAGTAAGAAATGTCACTGGTGCAGAAATGGAATCACTGGTGCAAAACAGAACAAGGTTTAGTTTAATCAGTTCACAAAATGGAGCTCAGAGACCTGGAGGTTTTACATGAAACTGACTTTATGTAGTTTGTTTAAATCTAATGAGAAAGAACTGAACAACATTACATTTGAATTAAAAGGGACTGAACTAAAATAGTAGAATAATCGAGTCAACTTCCAATCTACAAAAAGTAGAAGAGTTTGGGTAAATTAGTACTGCAGGTTGGTTAAGATTAAATTATTAGCCTGTAGAAAACCAGAGTGAATTGGATTGATATGTTAGTGGAGCTGTTGTCAGGCAGTTGCTATAGCAACGGGTATGTGTGTAGCGTAGAATACAAGAAAAGAACATGAGTGGTTTTGAGTTATTCTTCAACGGTTTTTCTGCTTTGTTTTCACTTTTTGTGGCGCGCTGCACTAAATTAATAATACCTACAACTCCAGGTTTCATTTCGTCAACAGAATTTACCTACTGTGGCAGCACGGCAAGTAAAATAATCGTTCTTTTGCCCTTCAGTATTTGTGTACATGTGTGAAATTTCCAGATGTAAACAATAACATGCCACGCGTCTATAAATAGTCATTTTTAGCTTTCCATAAAAGCTACACCTGGTCTGGCGTTCGGTTCGGCTGTGGTTTGGCCTGGAGGAGGAACCACAGCCATCTTGTTCTCCCTCTTCTGCTGTTAATGAACATTAAAAATCATCTTACTTCTGTTCTTGTTTGTTCTGGCTTGTCTTCCTCTCCACTGTTGCTGCGTGCTTGATGTGAAAGTTAACGACTCAATGCAAGCGATTTTCTACTGTCGCTACTTTTAATAATTAACTGAGCAAACTGTACTGTTTGTTAACTAGAATCAATTGGAATATATGTGTGATTGAATTGAAATCCAGTCAATAGGATGTTATGATACGGCATGGGACGGTACAAACCTGCAGCCAGAGTTTATCATGCTGAGACCATTTCCCTCCAGCAGTGCACTGGAACGTGGCATTCTGCCCCACGTTCACCTCCACATTCTGCAGCCGCAGGAAATGAGGAGCTTTACCTGCAACATGACAACAGCACACAAATTATGCCAACAATATGAACAAAATCAATAACTGAATACAAATGCACATTATGTGCAAAGTAATTCCAAGCTGAAATAAAATACATATGAAAATCAAGAAACTCGCCTGATTTAAATGGTTAAAGTCTCAATTTTAGATCAAACTGCTTGGTTTTAGTAAAATATTTAAATATTTTACTAAGTTTAAATAGACTTAAATAAGTTAAAGGGTTCACATTGAACTCCAACTGGTTACATCCAGAAAAAAACGTTTAATTCAGTTCGACTTTGACCTAAGACACCATTAAACTCTCATGTTTGTGCCATAATGTGGTCGGATGACTTGCTGGGTCATCCGACCACATTATGGCATGCTGGAGCTAAAGTTATGCTCCAGCATAACTTTAGCTGCACATTGTCCGAAAAAACAAAAACAAACCATCATCCTCCTTCCACTTCCTGTCGTCTTCTTTGTTGTTTTCAACAGTAATAACTTCCGGCTGTTGATCGTGTGACTCGAAAGAGCGAAAGAAGTGTTTCCATTGCAGTTTTACAAAATAAACCAATTTTAATACAGCTGAAAAACCAACTCAGCCTAGAGCAAAACCTTTTTATGGGAAAACACGTTTTTTCCAAATGGACGTTTCCATTCAGAGAATTCATTTTTGAAATTTCAAATTGTGCGATTTTATGATACATAGTTAGTGTTTGTGTAAACAGTAGGACTAAAAGACATTTATAATGTAAGACAGGTTATTATTGCAATCAGAAGCGAGGCTGAGAGACGAGTGCAGGCAGGCTGACATTGTGGTGACTTTGGTATTGAAAGCCGTGTGCGACTGGTTAATTTCATTTGACTGTCTGTAGAAGTAGATAAACCCAACTGAGTGTGGAGCCATCACTCATTTAATAATGATCATTTGCTTTGGCACTAATGACAAGGACTTACACATGAAGGTTGCTCCTTCAAAGCTTTTGAAATTCATCTTTCTCCATGACATTTCATTATATTGGTGTTTCTGCTGGTTTTTTGTGCATTATAATAATTCAGATAGGTTAGAGCAGTTAAGACTTTCACATTCTGAAATCAACACTGTTGTTTAGAAATGGTTTTATGAACGTAAGAGGGAATTTAAGCAGCCAGGAAATAGTAATTTGGTGATTTTTACAGCACAGAGTTTTGTGGAGCAAAGTGTTTCTGTCAGATTTGAGTGATGAAGACCCTGAGTTTGGACCTTCTTCTGGTTCTCTGCAATCTGTCTGCAATCCTCACTATCTGTGTGTGTGCGTGTGTGTGTGTGTGTGTGTGCGCGTGCAGGACAGCAATAAAACAGATGACACTCAGCAGGGTTACAGTTTGCAGGGTCAAACCGAGTCTCTCTCACTTACGGCAAGGATGAGCGAGAACTCGTATGTCATCGATGGCGATGAAACCAGGGTGGCCTTGGACCGAAACCGCCTCGAATATTACCTGAGAGTCAAAACACAGAAGAGAGAGAGGAAGGAGGAAAAAAATAAATTAAAGAAATCCAGATATAAAAACTTTTTTCCCTTCACAGGCTGCTGCGTCTCGACATCGCTGTGAAGAAGCTCATATGGGAAGCCCAGGGGGATTTTCCACCAAAAGTCAGCAACTATTCCTCTTTTCACTTCATCACTTCTGTCTCTATCCGTATGCCAGCCACATATGCTGTCACTTCTCTGCTTTTCTCCCTTCTTATTTTCTCCTCATCCATCTTCCATCACTCATTGCCCCCCTGTTTTTCCCTCATCTCTTTTTTTCCCTTTCTGAAGCTGTCGCTTTGTGTTGTTCTTCATTTCTTTACCCCACACATGCACTTAAAAAAGACCTGAACACAGACTGAGGGTGACATGAAGTCAGCCGGGTGGCTGGGAGGCCATGAACTCCTGACCCACCAACATAAACATGAACATACTGTCAAACCGCGTCCAGACGGAGCCAGGATACTCTGAATAGTGAGATCACTTTTTCTCAAACAAATTCCACATATTTGTATCAAAAACACAAATATTTCTTGTTAAAATAAAACATGAGAATGCTGCTTGGTAAGTTTATTGGCCAATCATGACTCCATCTTAAATTTAAGCACTGTAAAAACACAAAACTGTACCAGGTAAAAATCTGACTTTTATCACAAATCTGACTTTAATCATCTGAAATTAGAAAAATCTGAATTCTAAGGAAAAAAGTTATGATTAAAGTAAAAAAAAAAAGACTTTTCTGATTTAGTTTCTAGTGCAAATGTCTTAGTAGGCCTGAAATAAGACAAAATAACTTGGAAGTAACTTTTCAGTAAGTTATACAAGTTTGTTTAGAGTCAGTAATTCCCCATAATATGGATTTAAAAAGGTCCAATCAGATTAGTTACATTTGTTCAATGGTATAAGTGAAAAAGTCTGCCAGGGGATCTAATGCTTTTTAAAATCAATATTAATGAATTATTATCTTAGAAGAAGCTCCTATAACTTGTGTAAAAGTTACTAGTGAGTTGCTTTTTACTGTTGATTCAACTTGAAACTAAATCATTAGTGATTTATTTTAGAGTTTTCTACTCATCTTAAATAATTTCACCTTTTTGTACAAGTGAAAAGCTTTTATAAAAAGTAATTCTACCACCATAGGTTTTGCATAAAACCACTTTGCTGCACTTGGTGCTCTGAACTTCTAGCTGATAGTCGGAGTAGAAAAGGGAAGTGTCATCTCTCCCTGGGAGGTCACAGATAATTAGGGAGGAAAAGATAAAGAAGCCTTTAATTCACTTTAGCTCCTATAAAGTCTTATATCTATGGTGCTTTTATCCACTCAGGTCATTACCTAAAGCAAAAGGTACTGTAGTGTTACTTGACGGCAGCACAGAGCTGTATACTGCTGCACCTTTAATAGACCAATAAACAAGGAAACACAGCAAGACTGGAGGTCATTAAAGGAACAGTTCAGTTACAGAACTCACCGTAGTTCGTGGCTCAAAACTGTAAGCAGTGACTACTTATAGTAGCTAAAATATAAGTTTCCACCTCTGCATTTTATCTCTGCACCCAAAGAAACAGTCAGGCTGTAAAAATGTGAATTATTTTCACTAAAACTTTAAAATGAGCTCCATCTCTGGGTGCTATGGAGTCGAATCGCAGTCCGACAGCGTCTGCATCCCGTACTAATATTGATATTGGTCCCAATATCCAGAAGACTTCTAGATCTGGTTTCCTGACAACGTTCCTGACCCATTGGGTCAGATCTATTCAGTCTAATTCTATGCCTTGTGCTCTGAGCGACATCATGCTTTACTATTTTACATTTACAATTCCTAATTTTACTTTCTGAACCACTAGAAAGAAGGTTTGTTGCAGTTTGACCAAGACAGTCAACCTACTGTTTTAGTTTTAGTATTTAAATTTCTTTGGCTGTTTTAGTCCTAACTGCACTGAATGAACACATGAAAGTTGTTTTTACATGTTTGACCAAGTTGTGAAGGTATTGGTGTTTAAGTGTGATGTTCTGGTGCAGAATTATAAAATAAAAGTGCAATTCAGTACAATTATGTCTGTGGTTAAAAGGAATAAATGCTTTTAATAAATTCAGCTGTTTTTCAGTACCAGATCAGAATCAGCCGATTCTAAACCTCAGATATCAGAAGTGAAATAAGTGGATCTGTATTTTATCTGAGTATTTCTACAAACAGAGAGCATGTGTGTGTGTGTGTGTGTGTGTGTGTGCGTGCGTGTGTGTGTGTGTGTGTGTGTGTGTGTGTGGAGTACCTGATAGGAGTTGGGCCAGAATGTGGAAATGGCGAGTTCAGCCTTGACCCAGCCTTCGGTGACGGTATCCGAGGCGTTCCACACCGGGTTACCTTGAGCGCCTCCGTTCACCTGCAGGCGGTGAGAAACAGGGAAGGACGACAGAAAGGTAAATGATGAAAAGAGCTGATTCAGGGAGCCTGCAATCCAAAGCAGCAAACCTCAAAAGATGGATTTTCCTTAGATGTGGTGCTGCAGAGGCTTTTTTAACCCCTTCAGTCCTGATTGTTTATAGTGAACTAAAACATTTTACCTATTTGGATGTTTCTCAAACTTTTCAGGCTGAGGACCACTTCACCCATTTAATAAAATGAAAACACTAGTCTCTCTACTCACTCACTGTTTTCTTGTAATGATAAGGGTGGAGCTGTTTTTGTAAATGTGAATGGCCACAACAAAACCATGAACACGTCTTCTCTGGGCGTTTCACTTATTTACAGATTATTAAAGTTTGGATTCTAAGCTTTCCAATCATGTCAAACATAAGGAAATAAAAAGCGAAGTTGTTCTTCACTATCAAGTGTTGTGTGCATTAGGACTATTTGTAATCTAGAAGCATAACAAAAGAAATGCTGAGTTGCTTTGGCAAAAACAAAATTTATCTTCTGCAGCCTAAGCACACAAAGTCATAAAAAAGAACAGTTCTCACGAACTGAGACTCGCTGGCAGTCGTTCAAAAGAATCGAATCGCTGGTGAACAACGCATCAAAACTTACCGCATGTATAGCTCAACTTCCTCCGATCATAAAAGTAATCCTGGTATTGTATTTCCACTAATATATTTAATTTTTCTTTTGAGTGACTCGGTTTTAAGCCATTTATTCATTATTATTTTTAAGCAATCCTTCGGTAAGCTAGCTGTACACGTCACACCTTGAGCTGACGTCAAATAAACGGCCGTTTCCATGCAGTAGCTTGTGCACCAGTCCTTCTCGGCCAGCCATCTGCTTCACATCTTTATTTTCTGCTACACACCTTGATGTAGACGTTTAAAGTTCCTGGGCTTGCCCCGTCGCGACTGGACAGAGAGTACAGGAAGTCGATGCAGTGGGTGTCGTTCTCCTTCAGGGTGGGCATGTACAGGTGAGCCTTTTGTCCTGACGCGCGGCCCGATGCGTTCACTACCATAAACGAGCCTGCACACATGGAAAAGAACAAAAAACACACATGAAGTTAATCTGACATCAGTTTTCAACAAAATCATGTCCTAGTAACTTTCTGAAAGACATTTTGGATTGAAGCAGCATGCTACAATCAGGCCGCTGCAGCCATATAATTAATGAATTCATGTTTCTAAAGGGTGAGAAAATTCCATGAAGTTACATGGAAAATAAACAGGAATTTTAGCTTTTTCCAAACAGTTTTTACTTCTGTTTTCTCTGTCTGCTTTAAAAAATATAATTTTTACATGTTTCAGTTACCATAGCGTCCAGGTGTTCCCCAAGGCCAGGTCTTGGGATCAGTTCTATTTATTTCATACTACAGGTGGGACTTGAATAAAAAAATTTAATGATGTTAACTGTAAATGTCTGTAATTAATCAAACAACAACTGGCCAAACCTCAATAGTCATATTTAGGGCTTCAGAAGTGAATCGTCTGTCACTAGCCTTTAGGTTTCTAGTTTTTAGTGAATTATCAGCATGAAAAATTAAATCTAAATGCTACAATGTTCTGCTTTTCTCCTTCTCTAAGGCCAAACGGAGGGATGTTGTAACGTTTTTGTGTTTCTCCTGCGTTAATTTTTCCCTTGGCTCCCTTCAGGTATCGCCCTTTGGGTCGAAAGCAACCCGTTAAATGAACTTTTTAAATAAACTCGACTTGAATATGGAGTCTTATTTTATAATCATGCTTCCTCACATGCATAGGATACTTTATGCCTCACAGAGAGAGAATCATTGATTTCTTCAGGACATTAAGTGCATCCTCCATGGATAAATAATGTCCCACAAACTATTAATTACGAAGTACTGTGAGCTGGAAAATGGTTGGCAAGTTTCGTACAGCATAAACCAGATGCTTGATGCAGCAAAAAAGCCAAACTCTTAAAGCTCTTTAAATCACCAAAATGGTATATCAATGTCCTAATGCATCCACACCCTGAGGGTTGCAAAACCAGGCGTAAACCACACTTTCTTTGTCAGCTTATGGTTTAAGTGTGTTTTAGTCGGTGCTTTACGGCCGAGGATGGAGCTTTTATGGGTCGACCAGCTCCATTTGGCTAACTGCCATCAGCTTCACTAAGAATTAGAAGCGACTGAAGAGTCTCTGGGAAGAGAGAGGAGAAAAGTTGCATACTAAATAAAGCAGGTGTGACTGTGCAGATTAATCGTAACTAAAGGTGGATACTTATTTTTTTGTCTTCTGATGGTTTCTGAAGGGTGTTTCACATAATAATAATAATAATGGAGACAGAACTTACAAATAAAGCATAACTAATAATTAATTCTAGGTTTCTAGGTTTGAAAATCTGTCCTGTAGTAAAATTTACATTAAATAACTCCCCAAATTGCATCTAAGCAATGCAAAAATGGGATTTTATGGTTATGCTACTTTTTCATGACAAACACCTTAGCAGTTTGGCTGGCTGAGAAATAAATAATTCACCTATGTTTAAGCTGTACTGTAATAACCCTTTTTCATTTTAGCCCAATCATTTTCCACATCCTGTGGTTTGAATAAAACATTTTCTAAAATATCTGTGACATTTTACATGCAGAAAAAGTTTACATTTCTGGAAGAATCGCAAATATTATAATGAACATATAATTTGGCAAATTAAGGTGGATGGAGCAACATAAAAATAGGACAGTGGTACTCTGGACGTAAAAAACAGAGAATGTGAGAATGAATTTCATGGATATAAATTATCACAAAGGCCCGGTTTTTACACAATAGAGTAACACAAGATGCTTTTATTCACTCACACTCCAACAAGCACGACCAGAAGCAGAACAAACTCATAACTGCCGTTTCTCACACTGTTTCGCTGCTATGGAGGTTAGAGAGATAAAAAAATCTGTTAATGTGAGAAAAACACGTGAATCCGTCTACCGTACCTCACACACACACGCACACACACACACACACACACACACACACACGTCTAGATCTGAATAAGTGGGTCAACTCAGAGCAACAAACGTTCCAGCACACACTGCCACTCGAGACCAACTGTTTTCACAAAGACTGTGGAGAGTCTGAGATCTCACTTTTACTTCTCCAAAGATGTCGACAACAAAGTGAAGCAGGATCCTCTGCTGCATATTTCAGCTGTGGAAATCAGTTTAAATGGGACCCGTTACTCAAAATTCACAGTTTGGTCGTTTTTGTGCTTCTATTTGGGTTTCTACTGCTTCTAAAAACAGACCAAGTACTTAAAAAAAACAACAACAACAAAAAAAAAACTGTTTTGTTGAGAACAAGTTAATGTATTTTGGTGTCTGGAAAATCAGCTATTTCAAAAACCTTCCGAAAGTAACAAATCAGCAGGGACTGCCCATTATCTAGCAACCAGCAGATTTCCACCCATTACCTAGCAACCCCAGCAGAGTTCTGCCCATTACCTAGCAACCTTAGTGAAGCCCAGCCCCGTTACCTAGCAACCACAGCAGAGTTCCGGCACAAATAGTGAGAAGCAATTGCAACTATACATTAAATTTACCCAAATACGTTTTGGGTATAATTAAAAATAATATAATATATTATAATATATATCATATATATTATAATATAATATAATTAAAAATCAATAGATTGAAGAAAATATACACAACAAAATCCAAACTCTGCATCCATTACTTGCTTTTGTAAAACATGTATGATTACGATAATGTATGATTTGATATTTATCTCACAGCCTAAAGCAATTATCATCAAAGTAACATCATAAAGAGAATATTGATACAAAATTTAGGCCTATTATAAGTGGATGCCAAAATCTGACTCAACTTAAACAAATAGTTTTGGAATAATGCCTTTTCTTTTTTCCGTGACAATAACTGCATGTTCAGGCAGGAAAGACTCCTAAATACAAAAGGATAATTATATGTTGTATCAGCACAATACCAGACATTGCAGGAACACACTTTCAGGCTCTTTGTTACAAGTAATCTGTTGCAAAAACACAAGTAAGAGACAGAAATCAAGATTTTAGCTCCTACAAGGTGATTCCCTGAGACAATCAATCCCAATTTAGTTCTATTTCACAAGAAAAGTCACAATTTCATGGAGCTAGTGTTCTGAGGACTGATACGGCTTTCAAAACAGTTTGGCTTTTTTCCACAATCGTCCTTTAGAAAGTAAACTTCTGCAGCCATACATTAGTGTTGATATTATTCAGTTAACAGTAATGCACACTTAAGTGTTTCTGCACTGGATTTATGTCTGTAGCTTGTGACAATATGTGAAGGAGGCGGATGCATCCTTTTAATAGAGCTGAAAAGCTATTATCTACAGCGTAGGAGGCCAGCTTAAAGGAAAACACGTATATGCACACCTGAACAAAGGAAATGATGCTCCTGGGGAATATATGCTCCATACCTTGGCATCATCTTCCCACTTGGGATCTTATAGGATGTGGTATTTTTAAACAGCAGCAGGTTAAGGTCTGTGATCAAGAAAAAATATGGATTTCTCTCTTCCGTTTCCTATCTGAAAGTTTTCAGCTGGGGTTAGAAGTACGCACCAATCCACTTTTTCACTTCCAATACCGATATCTGAGTTTTAGTATCGGCCGATACCAATCCAATACAGAAGATTGACTGAGAATGTTAATTTTTTCTAATCATTACACATTAATTTGATAACTCTACAGCAGTACAGCACACTTAAATACACCAATGTCTTCACAAGCTTGGTCAAACATATAAAAACAGCTTTAGTTGGTTCAGTCAGTGCAGTTAGGAGAAAAACAAACAATGTAAAATAAATAAAGAAACTGTGTCAAAAACAATAGGTTGACTAAAACAAAAAAGCAAATCTTTCACATGGGTCAAAGTGCAATTAGAAATTTTAAATATCAGGTAAAATGAGTCAGAAAACATTTGTTTTTCTCCAACATCTCAAGAAACGAATCAAACTTGTGAGAATCTTGCAGTCCACAAGCCTTTGATTTGATTGTTTGAGAAAAAAACTGATTAAATTTTCCAATGCCACTTTAAAAACAAAACTAAGAAAGTCTTTCCTAGTGCCTGAAAACAAACTTAAATTGGATGAGCCAGAAAAGGAAGCTCAGCGTGAGCGAAACCGGAAAGTGCTGAAAATCTTCAGCTGCTGGACGGACATGACTTCTTCCTATCTGGATGAAAAACGACGCCATTGTTTGGTAAAATGGCTCATCTTCCTCATCATCGCCATCGCATAATTCATGCCGAAGGGAATCGGCGAACCCCAACACAAATATCTCTCTGGCCTTCGGTCCATTTAGTACACCCGATTCCCCCCTGAGGTGCCTCACACCCCCATATGTTCTGCGTTCTGAATGGGTAATGGCCCTGCAGGATCATCATCATCATCAGCAGGAACAGACAGGAAGCTGGACTGAATATATCATAACAGCAAAGACTCAAATTCAGCATCAGTAACTAGTTTGGTTTGTTCATATTTGAGGTCAAACAGGTTAAATTCTTCTTCTTTCACTGCTAAAGTCTTCAAGTTATCGTTTGGTCTCATCCCTGCACAAATATTAACAGCACTAGTAAATCTGTGTAAAATGTGTACAATATTGCTGAAATCAACAAACATTTGAGACTTTAACACACTTATAGCTGCCCATTTTAATAGTTCAAACACCAAGGATACCTCATTATGCATTAATACGCACAGTAGAAACAAGTGGGTCCAACAGTCAGTCTTCCTGAGCTACGTTATCAGGGAACAGCCAATCAGAGGAAATATCAGACATACTCTACAAAAACATAGAGAAAAGATGGTGACTACTGTTAAATAAAAGTATGTTGACACTTATTAAAGTAAAAGTGTAAAGAAAAAGTCAAAAACTTAAATTTTGTGGTGTCTAAAGCTAAGCCGCTAATCGTGCTCTGCTGTGCAGGCCTCCAGGGTAAAACACAGACAGGGAGAGAAACTAAACTAAATCAAACCAACATAAAACCAAAATCTATTCAAAAAGCTGACCT